TTCTTGCCAGATATTTATAAAACTTATACTTTAGATTAATATCAGCAGTATCTCGGACAAGTTCTATAAAGGTGGACAATCGGATTTTTTAATAAGATGATAAAATTATGCCACTTGAAAATATTAAATAAGTGCAACGCGGGAGACATTGGAACTCCTTTTTTATTGAATATCAATCAAAACAATATTCATCTCTTTGAAAAATATGCCAATGTTTCTTAAAAGCTCTGTTAAGAATTATTACTGCAGGGTTATATATTTAGTTACCATGCAGTGCAAGTGAAATTTCCTTTTTTCTAAAATTATTTGACAGAGTGTACTGCATCTTTTAATCTTGTGTTTCACATCTGTAATGTCTTACGCAGTTTGAAACTTTAATATCATAACCTCCTCTATCTATAAGTTTATTTCTCCAAAGTCATAAAATGTTGTTGAGATCAGTCTCGTTGCTATTTATACTATTAAATGAGAAGACCTCATTTTGTGTGTCGCTTCTCTTCCTTCCACAATAAATAAATCATCATGCCTCTGTGTCCTATAGGTATCACGCATAGTCGCATTTGTCATCCTCGCTTATGATTATTCAGTTTGGGTTATTTTGGGAGGAAACGATAATAAAGGCGTCCCGATAATATTTTCGTCATCGGACGGACTCTTAAGTCATAGACAAGACTTCCGTTTAGGACTCTTAAAATTACATATAATTTTCATAAGTACTTGGGAACAGCACAATTATTTTCGCGTTTTCTGTATACTACATGTACTATGATAATGCATATACTATAAATAAAGTGTATTTGCTATTTACTATCAATTCCAAGTCTACTATCCACGGCGGTCACTGCTATATTATTTAGAGATCTAGAGAGTCTCTATATAATATATCAGTGACCGCCCTAGATAGTAAACTTGGAATTGATAGTAAATAGCAAATGCACTTCATTTATAGTATATGTATGTTCATAATATACAGAAAAAAACGCGAAAATAATTAAAATTAACAGAAAAACAAAAAATAACGGACTTTGGAAAAAGGGGGAGGGCTAAAAAAAAATTGTAATGTCCCCAAGTACATGTACATATGACCTTTCTAATTTGATACCGTTTTTGAAATTCTCCAGTCATAAAATCTTTTACAAAAATTCATCCTACAACAGATTACATACTTTCAACCACACTCTAAAAGCCCGCGATTTCGCGGGTGTGTTCTAGTTGTTTCTTAAGTGACGACTTGTTTCACTTGTTATTACAATTTGAAAAGTATGTCTAAGATGTGCACTTGTAATTGGGAGATACTCATAAGACATGCAACCTGAAATCAAGGACACCACTCGATTTAAAATGCTCCCCTTTGTACACCTCAGTATATAAGTACGTCACTTCTGTATTGGAGAAATTATACGTAAACTTAATAATCGTGTTTTGCGAGGTGTTTTGTCTCTTTCTGACAAACCAGTCAGTAATGTTGGGGAGGCCAAACAGAAATGTATTCTCAGAAAATGGCTGTTAAAGCAGCTGAACACACTTCTGTTTTAAAAGTTGTATTTTTTGCTCACCTTGAATAAAGTTTTATAAAAATAAAGTTACTGTTTGACTTGACAGTTGAGAAACCAGATAATTGCTAGAGATAACCAAAAGTGCTAAATCACTGAGTAAAGACCGACAAATAGAGGTGTCCCTTCTGTTTTGGCAAAAAAAGCAATTAATTATTTAAAGCTAATAATTTCTTAATATTAGCCTCAAAGATTTTTAATGTCCATTGAAAGGAATTTAATTGTTTATGTAACTAGATTAAGACAGATTAATGTGTCCATAGAACCTGTTCAGCCTATGTCAATTTGAAGTTTTTATTACTTTAACTTCACTATAGAATCAATGTTAAGAACTATTAATAGCAATTGAGCAGTACGATTAGCACCAAAAGATACATGTATGTGTATTAAAATTATGATTATTGAATTTGAAGATTATGATAAAAAGAAAATTAAATACTGACAACTGATAACTGACAAGACACTTTTACCACACAGTACTGTAAGAAATAATTGTAAGGACAAGGTTCACTTATGGCACAAAATGGCCTAAAATATCAACTTTATCATAAAACACCAAAAGGTTCACAGTTTGGTTCGTAAATTGGTCTTTTTCAAAAACCTTACTGCTAAATAAATCTGTTCTTTTCATAAAAGTACATAATATTCTCCAAAGTAGGCCCATTTTGGACATTTTGTCAAAATATGATGATCTTGTGCAATTTTCAGACCCAAAAGCTTTAGGAAACCCTTGGCCGCCACCTACGATCCATAATGTTTTGTAACTAAAAGATTCCAATTTTGCGGATATAGAGTTCATCAATATAAAAAAATTTTGGATCGTGAATGGCGGCCAAGCTTAATTAATTAAAAAATTTACCAAAATTGACCTTTAATACAAATAATGTTTATTTAAGGGGTCATAGCTTCATAAAGTTGAAAGGAAGGTGCAAAAAAAATATATTTTTGACCTAATAGTATTATCACAAGTATTTCTATAAGTTTTAAGTTTTTTGTCCCGATTTAAAAAACATCAAAAATTTAGGGACAATTTTAACCCTTCGTGAGCCTTCTCCTTTATTAGTCATGGGGTAGATTTTATATGTATTAATTCCCCTAATATGACCTTTTTACGTATATAATATTTATATGTGTGACCTGCAACCCGCAACCCGCAACCTGCAACCCGCAACCTGCAAAATAGCACTTCCCGTTGGTTGCAGGCTGCAATCGGCAAGTCAGTTGAATATGAAGGAGGAAAGAAAATATAAGTGTTTCACCAAAACATTATATATACGGGTATATAAGGTTCAATTTGTGAATATTTGAAAAATGTGTAAGAATGTTTCGTATTTTATTTCCTTTATTAAACTGAACGAAGGTTTGAAATTTATTTGAAATTGATTCTTGATGTTATAAAACTTATATGTATGAGTGCCATTATATGAATTTAACTATTCTGAGACATATAACAAATGATTTACCAGCAGTAAAATTTTAGCTGGAGAAGTTAACTCGCTACGGATAAATAGCAGAAAATGTAGAAATTTCGAGAAATCACACATAGCGATGTGTACGAAACAGAACCTTTTCAGGAAAAAATACACGACTTTATCAAAATTCCACTGAAAGAATTGTTATGAAAAATAATGACCATAACGCCGGAGTATTTTTCGTTGATTTACAAAGTCATTTAAAAGTGTGCAAAGTTTGCTACAATTCCATTACGACCTTTCTTAAACTATTTATGTTAAATGTTTCGTTATTTGGTTATGTTATATTAAATTTGTAATATCACTTTTCATTCAATGTGTGTGTCCCCCCGCCCCCCCCTGTTTCTTTAATAAAACATGAATTGAAATCTAGAGACACATGATAGATTATCATGATCATGATAATGCATGATTATAGAAAGCCATTTAAAACAATTTACCAAATCTCTAAGGTTAGAATTTTATTGTGTGAACCATCAAATTTTAAGGTGGATTAATTGGTTTCAGTGACAGATTTCCTCTTACAATATTTTATAACAAGTTTAATTGTTTCAAATGAAGGATTTATGCCCATCTGTCCAAACTCATTAAAACAAAAGTAAATAAGATGTAATAGTTATTCAGTATCCCTTTGCATTTTCATCCTTAAATTAAATGAAGTAATTAAGAACTTGTATCTGTCAAGACCTATTGTTATTGTTATTGTAAAATGAATGAGTATTTATTTGGTATAAATAAAACCAAATGAAGTGTAAATGTCAATCATTAAGCAACCCAACAAAAAGGAAATAAATAATAAGAACATACATTTCAAATATTAACAGAATTATACATTATATAAATAACACATAGCTGAGAGGGTTATTGAGCAGATTGTTACCCCGAGAAAACATTGTCAACTGAGGCGAAGCCAAGGTTGACAATGTCTTTTCGAGGGGTAACAATCTGCTCTATCACCCTCTCAGACATGTGTTATTTAATTTATTATACTGAATGTTCTGTTATTACTGTCGATTAAATTTCAAATTCAAAGTAATAAACTATGACGTCTTGTACATAACAACCATCCGTATTTAATAAAGCGCACACTTGATCAAGCGTCTCCGTGAAGGGTAATAGAGTATTTGCCATAGGATAGAGTCGTATTTAATAAAGCGCACACTTGATCAAGCGTCTCCGTGAAGGGTAATAGAGTATTTGCCATATGATAGAGTCGTATTTAATAAAGCGCACACTTGATCAAGCGTCTCCATGAAGGGTAATAGAGTAAATTACACCCTCGTATTAGCCAATCAAAATATGGCATTTTGACGTGAAGTATAATAAAAACCTCATTTAATTCCATTCCCATTGTTAATTCTAAACGTAGAATGAGAGGAAAATATTTATTTGTTTGCATGTATATGTTCACGAATACGTAGTAATCTAAAGAAAAGGGAAAACGTAAGCATTTCATAATTGTGACTTTCAAATTATGTCTATTTTTGTTATTGTAATAAATAAACCATTTTCGGCCACTTGCTCTCTTCTGTTTCCGTATGTTTTTTCTTTATTATTTTGTGATATTTATTTATTAAAGATATGTTTATTTAGACAAATTACGAATTTTGAATGAATACTACAAAAAGAGAGATATCGAAAAAAGAAAGCACTATCAAGCCCATTCAAATGCTTAATCAAATGATCACTTTAAAATTACTGCCAATACTACTTCAAGTGATCTGAAATATTATATTGTACATGTCAATAAATGTCTGAAGGTATATGAATTGTCACTTTGAATAATTGGAAAATAATTAATTTTAAACATTAAGGATGAGTGTTGGTCTATTTTTCAAGATTTTAAATATGCATGAGTCAACTTCCACATACAGTTGAGATCGTTTTGTGGTAATAAGCATTGTGTCTAAGTTTCATAACATTTGGTTGAGGCAAACTGAAGTTAGAGAACGGAAACGAAAATTTCATAAATTTTTCCGTTTTTGTCAATTTCACTATTTCAGATTTTTAACCGTAACTTCAGATTTTCGAACATAAACCACTCTGGAGATTTTCTTAAACGATACGCCATTGTCTCCTCTACAACACCTATATAGTCGTTGCCCGTCACAATCTCTTCAAATTAGTCCAAAATTAACTTGAATTGCCCTAGCCCCCTAATCTCATTTTGTCAATTTCACAATAAAAGTTTCAGTTTTTCAACCGTAACTTCAGATTTTCGAACATAAACCACTCTGGAGATTTTTCTAAACGATGCGCCAATGTCTCTTCTACAACACCTATATAGTCGTTGCCCGTCACAATCTCTTGAAATTGGTCCAAAATTAACTTAAATTGGCCTAACCCCCAATCTCATTTAGTCAATTTCAAAATTTCAGTTTTTTAACCGGAACTTCAGATTTTCGAACATAAACCACTCTGGAGATTTTCTTAAACGATGCACCAATCCTCTACAACACCTATATAGTCGTTGCCCGTCAAAATCTTTTGAAATTGGTCCAAAATTAACTTAAATTGGACTACCCCCCAATCTCATTTTGTCAATTTCACAATTTCAGTTTTTTAACCGTAACTTAAGATTTTCGAACATAAACCACTCTGGATATTTTCCTCAACGATGCACCAATGTCTCCTCTACAACACCTATATAATCGTTGCCCGTCACAATCTCTTGAAATTGGTCCAAAATTAACTTAAATTGGCCTACCCCCCTAATCTCATTTTGTCAATTTCACATTTTCAGTTTTTTAACCGTAACTTCAGATTTTCGAACATAAACCACTCTGGAGATTTTCTTAAACAATGCGCCAATGTCTCCTCTACAACACCTTTATAGTCGTTGCCCGTCACAATCTCTTTAAAATGGTCCAATTGTTTCTTTTAGTGCCCTACCCCCTTAAACTCATCTTGTCAATTTCACAATAAAAATTTCAGTTTTTTAACCGTAACTTCAGATTTTCGACTAAAAACCACTCTGGAGATTTTCTTAAACGATGCGCCATTGTCTCCTCTTTAACACCTATATAGTCGTTGCCCGTCACAATCTCTTTAAAATGGTCCACATTTTTCTTTTAGTGCCCTACCCCCCTAATCTCATTTTGTCAATTTCACAATAACATTTTCAGTTTTTTAACCGTAACTTCAGATTTTCGAACATAAACCACTCTGGAGATTTTCTTAAACGATGCGCCAATGTCTCCTTTACAACACCTATATAGTCGTTGCCCGTCACAATCTCTTAAATTGGTCCAAAATAAACTTAAATTGGCCTGCCCTCTAATCTCATTTTGTCAATTTCACAATTTCAGTTTTTTAACCGTAACTTCAGATTTTCGAACATAAACTACTCTGGAGATTTTCTTAAACGATGCGCCAATGTCTCCTCTTCAACACCTATATAGTCGTTGCCCGTCACAATCTCTTTAAAATTGTTCAAATTTTTCTTTTAGTGCCCTACCCCCCTAATCTCATTTTGTCAATTTCACAATAAAATTTTCAGTTTTTTAACCGTAACTTCAGATTTTCGAACATAAACCACTCTGGAGATTTTCTTAAACAATGCGCCTTTGTTTCCTCTACAACACCTATATAGTCGTTGCCCGTCACAATCTCTTGAAATAGGTCCAAAATTAACTTGAAATCCCCTACCCCCCAAATCACATTTTGTCAATTTCACAATAAAATTTTCAGTTTTTTAACCGTAACTTCAGATTTTCGAACATAAACCACTCTGGAGATTTTCCTAAACGATGCGCCAATGTCTCCTCTACAACACCTATATAGTCGTTGCCCGTCACAATCTCTTAAAATTGGTCCAAAATTAACTTAAATTGGCCTAACCCCAAATCTCATTTTGTCAATTTCATAATTTCAGTTTTTTAACCGGAACTTCAGATTATCGAACATAAACCACTCTGGAGATTTTCTTAAACGATGCGCCAATGTCTCCTCTACAATACCTATGTAATCGTTGCCCGTCACAATCTCTTGAAATTGGTCCAAAATTAACTTAAATTGGCCTACCTCCCTAATCTCATTTTGTCAATTTCACAATTTCAGTTTTTTAACCGTAACTTCAGATTTTCGAACATAAACCACTCTGGAGATTTTCTAAAACGATGCGCCAATGTCTCCTCTACAACACCTTTATAGTCGTTGCCCGTCACAATCTCTTGAAATTGGACCAAAATTATCTTAAATTGGCCTACCCCCCTAATCTCATTTTGTCAATTTCACAATTTCAGTTTTTTTAACCGGAACTTCAGATTTTCGAACATAAACCACTCTGGAGATTTTCTTAAACGATGCGCCAATGTCTCCTCTACAACACCTATGTAATCGTTGCCCGTCACAATCTCTTTAAAATGGTCCAAATTTTTCTTTTAGTGCCCTACCCCCTAATCTCATTTTGTTAATTTCACAATAAAATTTTCAGTTTTTTAACCGTAACTTCAGATTTTCGAACATAAACCACTCTGGAGATTTTCTTAAACGATGCGCCATTGTTTCCTCTACAACACCTATATAGTCGTTGCCCGTCACAATCTCTTGAAATAGGTCCAAAATTAACTTGAATTGCCCTACCCCCCAATCTCATTTTGTCAATTTCACAATAAAATTTTCAGTTTTTTAACCGTAACTTCAGATTTTCGAACATAAACCACTCTGGAGATTTTCCTAAACGATGCGCCATTGTCTCCTCTACAACACCTATATAGTCGTTGCCCGTCACAATCTCTTTAAAATGGTCCAAATTTTTCTTTTAGTGCCCTACCCCCCTAATCTCATTTTGTCAATTTCACAATAAAATTTTCAGTTTTTTAACCGTAACTTCAGATTTTCGAAGGTAAACCATTCTGGAGATTTTTTTAAATGATGCACCAATGTCTCCTCTTCAACACCTATATAGTCGTTGCCCGTCACAATCTCTTTAAAATGGTCCAATTTTTTCTTTTAGTGCCCTACCCCCTTAATCTCATTCTGTCAATTTCACAATAAAATTTTCAGTTTTTTAACCGTAACTTCAGATTTTCGAACATAAACCACTCTGGAGATTTTCTTAAACGATGCGCCAATGTCTCTTCTACAACACCTATATAGTCGTTGCCCGTCACAATCTCTTTAAAATGGTCCAAGTTTTTCTTTTAGTGACCTACCCCCTTAATCTCATTCTGTCAATTTCACAATAAAATTTTCAGTTTTTTAACCGTAACTTCAGATTTTCGACATAAACCACTCAGGAGATTTTCTTAAACGATGCGCCAATGTCTCCTCTACAACACCTATATAGTCGTTGCCCGTCATAATCTCTTTAAAATGGTCCAATTTTTTTCTTTTAGTGCCCTACCCCTTTAATCTCATTTTGTCAATTTCACAATAACATTTTCAGTTTTTTAACCGTAACTTCAGATTTTCGAACATAAACCACTCTGGAGATTTTCTTAAACGATGCGCCATTGTTTCCTCTACAACACCTATATAGTCGTTGCTCGTCACAATCTCTTGAAATAGGTCCAAAATTAACTTGAATTGCCCTACCCCCCTAATCTCATTTTGTCAATTACACAATAAAATTTTCAGTTTTTTAACCGTAACTTCAGATTTTCGAACATAAACCACTCTGGAGATTTTCCTAAACGATGCGCCAATGTCTCTTCTACAATACCTATATAGTCGTTGCCCGTCACAATCTCTTTAAAATGGTCCAAATTTTTCTTTTAGTGCCCTACCCCCTTAATCTCATTTTGTCAATTTCACAATAAAATTTTCAGTTTTTTAACCGTAACTTCAGATTTTCGAACATAAACTACTCTGGAGATTTTCTTAAACGATGCGCCAATGTCTCCTTTACAAAACCTGTATAGTCGTTGCCCGTCACAATCTCTTAAATTGGTCCAAAATTAACTTAAATTGGCCTGCCCCTAATCTCATTTTGTGAATTTCACAATTTCAGTTTTTTAACCGTAACTTCAGATTTTCGAACATAAACTACTCTGGAGATTTTCTTAAACGATGCGCCAATGTCTCCTCTTCAACACCTATATAGTCGTTGCCCGTCACAATCTCTTGAAATAGGTCCAAAATTATCTTTTAGTGCCCTACCCCCTTAATCTCATTCTGTCAATTTCACAATAAAATTTTCAGTTTTTTAACCGTAACTTCAGATTTTCGAACATAAACTACTCTGGAGATTTTCTTAAACGATGCGCCAATGTCTCCTTTACAAAACCTGTAAAGTCGTTGCCCGTCACAATCTCTTAAATTGGTCCAAAATTAACTTAAATTGGCCTGCCCCCTAATCTCATTTTGTGAATTTCACAATTTCAGTTTTTTAACCGTAACTTCAGATTTTCGAACATAAACTACTCTGGAGATTTTCTTAAACGATGCGCCAATGTCTCCTGTTCAACACCTATATAGTCGTTGCCCGTCACAATCTCTTGAAATAGGTCCAAAATTAACTTGAATTGCCCTACCCCCCTAATCTCATTTTGTCAATTTCACAATAAAATTTTCAGTTTTTTAACCGTAACTTCAGATTTTCGAACATAAACCACTCTGGATAATTTCTTAAACAATGCGCCATTGTCTCCTCTACAACACCTATATAGTCGTTGCCCGTCACAATCTCTTGAAATTGGTCCAAAATTAATTTAAATTGGCCTACCCCCCTTATCTCATTTTGTCAATTTCACAATTTCAGTTTTTTAACCGTAACTTCAGATTTTCGAACAAAAACCACTCTGGAGATTTTCTTAAACGATGCGCCATTGTCTCCTCTACAACACCTATATAGTCGTTGCCCGTCACAATCTCTTAAAATTGGACCAAAATTAACTTAAATTGGCCTACCCCCCTTATCTCATTTTGTCAATTTCACAATTTCAGTTTTTTAACCGTAACTTCAGATTTTCGAACATAAACTACTCTGGAGATTTTCTTAAACGATGCGCCAATGTCTCCTTTACAAAACCTGTATAGTCGTTACCCGTCACAATCTCTTAAATTGGTCCAAAATTAACTTAAATTGGCCTGCCCCCTAATCTCATTTTGTCAATTTTACAATTTCAGTTTTTTAACCGTAACTTCAGATTTTCGAACATAAACTACTCTGGAGATTTTCTTAAACGATGCGCCAATGTCTCTTCTTCAACACCTATATAGTCGTTGCCCGTCAAAATCTCTTTAAAATGGTCCAAATTTTTCTTTTAGTGCCCTACCCCCCTAATCTCATTTTGTCAATTTCACAATAAAATTTTCAGTTTTTTAACCGTAACTTCAGATTTTCGAACGTAAACCACTCTGGAGATTTTCTTAAACGATGCGCCAATGTCTCTTCTTCAACACCTATATAGTCGTTGCCCGTCACAATCTCTTTAAAATGGTCCAAATTTTTCTTTTAGTGCCCTACCCCCTTAATCTCATTCTGTCAATTTCACAATAAAATTTTCAGTTTTTTAACCGTAACTTCAGATTTTCGAACATAAACCACTCTGGAGATTTTCCTAAACGATGCGCCAATGTCTCTTCTACAACACTTATATAGTCGTTGCCCGTCAGAATCTCTTAAAATTGGTCCAAAATTAACTTAAATTGGCCTAACCCCCAATATCATTTAGTCAATTTCACAATTTCAGTTTTTTAACCGGAACTTCAGATTTTCGAACATAAACTACTCTGGAGATTTTCTTAAACGATGCGCTAATGTCTCCTCTACAACACCTATGTAATCGTTGCCCGTCACAATCTCTTGAAATTGGTCCAAAATTAACTTAAATTGGCCTACCCTCCTAATCTCATTTTGTCAATTTCACCATTTCAGTTTTTTAACCGTAACTTCAGATTTTCAAACATAAACTACTCTGGAGATTTTCTTAAACGATGCGCCAATGTCTACTCTTCAACACCTTTATAGTCGTTGCCCGTCACAATCTCTTTAAAATGGTCCAAATTTTTCTTTTAGTGCCCTACCCCCCTAATTTCATTTTGTCAATTTCACAATAAAATTTTCATTTTTTTAACCGTAACTTCAGATTTTCGAACATAAACCACTCTGGAGATTTTCTAAAACGATGCGCCAATGTCTCCTCTACAATACCTATGTAATCGTTGCCCGTCACAATCTCTTGAAATTGGTCCAAAATTAACTTAAATTGGCCTACCCCCCTAATCTCATTTTGTCAATTTCACAATTTCAGTTTTTTAACCGTAACTTCAGATTTTCGAACATAAACCACTCTGGAGATTTTCTAAAACGATGCGCCAATGTCTCCTCTACAACACCTTTATAGTCGTTGCCCGTCACAATCTCTTGAAATTGGACCAAAATTATCTTAAATTGGCCTACCCCCCTAATCTCATTTTGTCAATTTCACAATTTCAGTTTTTTTAACCGGAACTTCAGATTTTCGAACATAAACCACTCTGGAGATTTTCTTAAACGATGCGCCAATGTCTCCTCTACAACACCTATGTAATCGTTGCCCGTCACAATCTCTTTAAAATGGTCCAAATTTTTCTTTTAGTGCCCTACCCCCATATCTCATTTTGTTAATTTCACAAAAAAAATTTCAGTTTTTTAACCGTAACTTCAGATTTTCGAACATAAACCACTCTGGAGATTTTCTTAAACGATGCGCCAATGTCTCCTCTACAACACCTATATAGTCGTTGCCCGTCATAATCTCTTTAAAATGGTCCATTTTTTTCTTTTAGTGCCCTACCCCTTTAATCTCATTTTGTCAATTTCACAATAACATTTTCAGTTTTTTAACCGTAACTTCAGATTTTCGAACATAAACCACTCCGGAGATTTTCTTAAACGATGCGCCATTGTTTCCTCTACAACACCTATATAGTAGTTGCCCGTCACAATCTCTTGAAATAGGTCCAAAATTAACTTGAATTGCCCTACCCCCCCAATCTCATTTTGTCAATTTCACAATAAAATTTTCAGTTTTTTAACCGTAACTTCAGATTTTCGAACATAAACCACTCTGGAGATTTTCCTAAACGATGCGCCATTGTCTCCTCTACAACACCTATATAGTCGTTGCCCGTCACAATCTCTTTAAAATGGTCCAAATTTTTCTTTTAGTGCCCTACCCCCCTAATCTCATTTTGTCAATTTCACAATATAATTTTCAGTTTTTTAACCGTAACTTTAGATTTTCGAACATAAACTACTCTGGAGATTTTCTTAAACGATGCGCCAATGTCTCCTTTACAAAACCTGTATAGTCGTTGCCCGTCACAATCTCTTAAATTGGTCCAAAATTAACTTAAATTGGCCTGCCTCCTAATCTCATTTTGTCAATTTCACAATTTCAGTTTTTTAACCGTAACTTCAGATTTTCGAACATAAACTACTCTGGAGATTTTCTTAAACGATGCGCCAATGTCTCCTCTTCAACACCTATATAGTCGTTGCCCGTCACAATCTCTTGAAATAGGTCCAAAATTAACTTGAATTGCCCTACCCTCCTAATCTCATTTTGTCAATTTCACAATAAAATTTTCAGTTTTTTAACCGTAACCTCAGATTTTCGAACATAAACCACTCTGGAGATTTTCTTAAACGATGCTCCATTGTCTCCTCTACAACACTCATATAGTCGTTGCCCGTCACAATCTCTTCAAATTAGTCCAAATTTAACTTGAATTGCCCTACCCCCTAATCTCATTTTGTCAATTTCACAATAAAAGTTTCAGTTTTTTAACCGTAACTTCAGATTTTCGAACATAAACCACTCTGGAGATTTTCCTAAACGATGCGCCAATGTCTCTTCTACAACACCTATATAGTCGTTGCCCGTCACAATCTCTTGAAATTGGTCGAAAATTAACTTAAATTGGCCTAACCCCCAATCTCATTTAGTCAATTTCACAATTTCAGTTTTTTAACCGTTACTTCAGATTTTCGAACATAAACCACTCTGAAAATTTTCTTAAACGATGCGCCATTGTCTCCTCTACAACACCTATATAGTCGTTGCCCGTCAAAATCTCTTGAAATTGGTCCAAAATTAACTTAAATTGACCTACCCCCCAATCTCATTTTCTCAATTTCACAATTTCAGTTTTTTAACCGTTACTTCAGATTTTCGAACATAAACCACTCTGGAGATTTTCTTAAACGATGCGCCATTGTCTCCTCTACAACACTCATATAGTCGTTGATCGTCACAATCTCTTCAAATTAGTCCAAAATTAACTTGAATTGGCCTACCCCCTTATCTCATTTTGTCAATTTTACAATAAAAGTTTCAGTTTTTTAACCGTTACTTGAGATTTTCGAACATAAACCACTCTGGAGATTTTCTTAAACGATGCGCCATTGTCTCCTCTACAACACCTATATAGTCGTTGCCCGTCAAAATCTCTTGAAATTGGTCCAAAATTAACTTAAATTGGCCTACCCCCCAATCTCATTTTCTCAATTTCACAATTTCAGTTTTTTAACCGTTACTTCAGATTTTCGAACATAAACCACTCTGGAGATTTTCTTAAACGATGCGCCATTGTCTCCTCTACAACACTCATATAGTCGTTGATCGTCACAATCTCTTCAAATTAGTCCAAATTAACTTGAATTGGCCTACCCCCTTATCTCATTTTGTCAATTTTACAATAAAAGTTTCAGTTTTTTAACCGTTACTTGAGATTTTCGAACATAAACCACTCTGGAGATTTTCTTAAACGATGCGCCATTGTCTCCTCTACAACACCTTTATAGTCGTTGCCCGTCAAAATCTCTTGAAATTGGTCCAAAATTAACTTAAATTGGCCTAGCCCCAATCTCATTTAGTCAATTTCACAATTTCAGTTTTTTAACCGTTACTTCAGATTTTCGAACATAAACCACTCTGGAGATTTTCTTAAACGATGCGCCATTGTCTCCTCTACAACACCTATATAGTCGTTGCCCGTCATAATCTCTTTAAAATGGTCCAATTTTTTCTTTTAGTGCCCTACCGTTTTAATCTCATTTTGTCAATTTCACAATAACATTTTCAGTTTTTTAACCGTAACCTCAGATTTTCGAACATAAGCCACTCTGGAGATTTTCTTAAACGATGCGCCATTGTCTCCTCTACAACACTCATATAGTCGTTGCCCGTCACAATCTCTTCAAATTAGTCCAAATTTAACTTGAATTGCCCTACCCCCCTAATCTCATTTTGTCAATTTCACAATAAAAGTTTCAGTTTTTTAACCGTAACTTCAGATTTTCGAACATAAACCACTCTGGAGATTTTCCTAAACGATGCGCCAATGTCTCTTCTACAACACCTATATAGTCGTTGCCCGTCACAATCTCTTGAAATTGGTCGAAAATTAACTTAAATTGGCCTAACCCCCAATCTCATTTAGTCAATTTCACAATTTCAGTTTTTTAACCGGAACTTCAGATTTTCGAACATAAACCACTCTGGAGATTTTCTTAAACGACGCGCCATTGTCTCCTCTACAACACTCATATAGTCGTTGATCGTCACAATCTCTTCAAATTAGTCCAAAATTAACTTGAATTGGCCTACCCCCTTATCTCATTTTGTCAATTTTACAATAAAAGTTTCAGTTATTTAACCGTTACTTGAGATTTTCGAACATAAACCACTCTGGAGATTTTCTTAAACGATGCGCCATTGTCTCCTCTACAACACCTATATAGTCGTTGCCCGTCAAAATCTCTTGAAATTGGTCCAAAATTAACTTAAATTGGCCTAGCCCCCAATCTCATTTAGTCAATTTCACAATTTCAGTTTTTTAACCGTTACTTCAGATTTTCGAACATAAACCACTCTGGAGATTTTATTAAACGATGCGCCATTGTCTCCTCTACAACACCTATATAGTCGTTACCCGTCAAAATCTCTTGAAATTGGTCCAAAATTAACTTTTTTTTAAAAGATTTTCTTAAACGATGCGCCAATGTCTCCTCTACAACACCTATAGAGTCGTTGCCCGTCACAATCTCATGAAATTGGTTCAAAATTAACTTAAATTGGCCTTCCCCCCTAATCTCATTTTGTCAATTTCACAATTTCAGTTTTTTAACCGTAAATTCATATTTTCGAACATAAACCACTCTGGAGATTTTCTAAAACGATGCGCCAATGTCTCCTCTACAACACCTATATAGTCGTTGCCCGTCACAATCTCTTGAAATTGGTCAAAAATTAACTTAAATTGACCTACCCCCCTAATCTCATTTTGTCAATTTCACAATTTCAGTTTTTTAACCGGAACTTCAGATTTTCGAACATAAACCACTCTGGAGATTTTCTTAAACGATGCGCAAATGTCTCCTCTACAACACCTATGTAATCGTTGCCCGTCACAATCTCTTGAAATTGGTCCAAAATTAACTTAAATTGGCCTACCCCCCTAATCTCATTTTGTCAATTTCACAATAAAAGTTTCAGTTTTTTAACCGTAACCTCAGATTTTCGAACATAAACCACTCTGGAGATTTTCTTAAACGATGCGCCATTGTCTCCTCTACAACACTCATATAGTCGTTGCCCGTCACAATCTCTTCAAATTAGTCCAAATTTAACTTGAATTGCCCTACCCCCCTAATCTCATTTTGTCAATTTCACAATAAAAGTTTCAGTTTTTTAACCGTAACTTCAGATTTTCGAACATAAACCACTCTGGAGATTTTCCTAAACGATGCGCCAATGTCTCTTCTACAACACCTATATAGTCGTTGCCCGTCACAATCTCTTGAAATTGGTCGAAAATTAACTTAAATTGGCCTAACCCCCAATCTCATTTAGTCAATTTCACAATTTCAGTTTTTTAACCGGAACTTCAGATTTTCGAACATAAACCACTCTGGAGATTTTCTTAAACGATGCGCCATTGTCTCCTCTACAACACCTATATAGTCGTTGCCCGTCAAAATCTCTTGAAATAGGTCCAAAATTAACTTAAATTGGCCTACCCCCCCCCCCAATCTCATTTTGTCAATCACAATTTCAGATTTTTAACCGTTACTTGAGATTTTCGAACATAAACCACTCTGGAGATTTTCTTAAACGATGCGCCATTGTCTCCTCTACAACACCTATATAGTCGTTGCCCGTCAAAATCTCTTGAAATTGGTCCAAAATTAACTTAAATTGGCCTACCCCCCAATCTCATTTTCTCAATTTCACAATTTCAGTTTTTTAACCGTTACTTCAGATTTTCGAACATAAACCACTCTGGAGATTTTCTTAAACGATGCGCCATTGTCTCCTCTACAACACTCATATAGTCGTTGATCGTCACAATCTCTTCAAATTAGTCCAAAATTAACTTGAATTGGCCTACCCCCTTATCTCATTTTGTCAATTTTACAATAAAAGTTTCAGTTTTTTAACCGTTACTTGAGATTTTCGAACATAAACCACTCTGGAGATTTTCTTAAACGATGCGCCATTGTCTCCTCTACAACACCTATATAGTCGTTGCCCGTCAAAATCTCTTGAAATTGGTCCAAAATTAACTTAAATTGGCCTACCCCCCAATCTCATTTTCTCAATTTCACAATTTCAGTTTTTTAACCGTTACTTCAGATTTTCGAACATAAACCACTCTGGAGATTTTCTTAAACGATGCGCCATTGTCTCCTCTACAACACTCATATAGTCGTTGATCGTCACAATCTCTTCAAATTAGTCCAAAATTAACTTGAATTGGCCTACCCCCTTATCTCATTTTGTCAATTTTACAATAAAAGTTTCAGTTTTTTAACCGTTACTTGAGATTTTCGAACATAAACCACTCTGGAGATTTTCTTAAACGATGCGCCATTGTCTCCTCTACAACACCTATATAGTCGTTGCCCGTCAAAATCTCTTGAAATTGGTCCAAAATTAACTTAAATTGGCCTAGCCCCCAATCTCATTTAGTCAATTTCACAATTTCAGTTTTTTAACCGTTACTTCAGATTTTCGAACATAAACCACTCTGGAGATTTTATTAAACGATGCGCCATTGTCTCCTCTACAACACCTATATAGTCGTTGCCCGTCAAAATCTCTTGAAATTGGTCCAAAATTAACCTTTTTTTAAAAGATTTTCTTAAACGATGCGCCAATGTCTCCTCTACAACACCTTTATAGTCGTTGCCCGTCACAATCTCATGAAATTATTTCAAAATTAACTTAAATTGGCCTTCCCCCCTAATCTCATTTTGTCAATTTCACAATTTCAGTTTTTTAACCGTAAATTCATATTTTCGAACATAAACTACTCTGGTGTTTTTTCTAAACGTTGCGCCAATGTCTCCTCTACATCACCTATAGGCAGTCGTTGCCCGTCACAGTCTCTATGAATGGGTCGACAATCAACTTAAGGTATCCCCCTTTTTGTTTTTAATTACAATTTTTTCAACCTTTCTTCAGATTTTTAACATAAACCATCCTGGAGTTCGTCTTAATAGATACGCTTATGTCTCAGCTGCATCACCTATGCAGTCGTGTACCGTCACAATCTCTATAAATGGGTCAAAAATCAACTTAATGTATGCCCCCTACTCCCTTTTCGTTTTTACAATTTCAGTTTTTTAAACTTAACTTCAGATTTTTAAACATAAACCATTCTGGAGTTTGTCTTATTAGATACGATAATGTCTCCTCTATGTTACCTTTACAGTCGTTGCCTGTCACAATCTCTATAAATTGCTCAAAATCTTTATGGTATCCCTTTTGTTTTAATTTTTTTTATTCGTTTTTGTTTAATATTTTGAATATTCTTATAATTGTCCGCTAGGTCTCTGTAATTGTTCGCTAGCTCGAAAAAAACGTGATTGTCTTATGTGAAATTGTGGTTTTTAGTTATACCTCCTAATTGTTCGCTGGCTAATTGTTCGCTACAATTGTTCGCTAGCTTGAGTCAAGTTACTAAATAGTGTGTTAAAATTACATTGTTAGGCAATCTATATATATATATATATATATATATATATATATATATATATATACCATAAAACCCACGATAACTGGATTAATTTCAATAAAATACATATCCCAGCATTATTATCATGATTATAGTAAACATGTAAATTACATCTGTTTACATGGTTTAAACAGTAACAGATTATACATAACCCAGCAGTGACGAGTGCCCAATTATTCGTTTTTAAATTACTGCAAAATTCTCGAAATGTTATTTGATAAAAAATAATTATTTAGCTTTTATATATGGACAGCTAGGAGAGTAGCTTACTCTTGATACATAAGTAATAAAATTTCAGTTACTGTGTATAATTGTTTAACATCATATTTGCATTACGTTTTAAACTTTCAGATGTACAAGATATTTTGTGTTTTAATAGTACTTCTCTCTGAAGACAATAGTTGGTTATGGCTGTGGATAATAATCAGGTAACTACATTATTAAATATATAAAATAATACTGATACCAGAATTACTTTAAAATCATTATATTCAGAGTTTGTGCAAGAATCATACCAGTGTGCCACATCTCTTAATATTTTTTACAGAAATTCTTAGTTGAATTCTAGCCAGCTCTGACAGCTTTCAGCACTAGTACTAGTACTGCCACAAAATTTAATTTTTAGATTCTTATTCGTTTTTAATTTGTAGTAGGCAGGTGTATTTTGTTTTACATGTAATGTTTTATTTTTTTTGCTTTGAAACTAAATGGATTAAAATTATAATTTTACAATATGGAAAATGTCAGGGAAACCCTAATTATATTTTATGTATTTTAGTCTTACAAAAAAAAATGTTTGTTATTTTCAGGATACCAAAGTTAAAGAAAGGAGATATGTTTCTTTGTGGTGAAAGTGCAAGAAATAACACCATATTCTGACTTACAAAATGATCACTCATACTGCATGCAATACAGGGAAAGGCATCAAACCAAGCCTCTAGAAGACATACATTTGTAGAATGTATTTTCTATGATGTACACGTCGCAGAGGATACTTTATGTTCCAAAAAATCAAATACAAATTGTGTCCGGTACGTCTAAACACTGCTAAGGAGTCCTTAGTGCACTAAGGACGTATACTATGCCACTAAGGACAAGATGGGGTGCTGTTACATGTATTATTTTTCCATATTAAGTTAGAGATTGATATTTAATGCATAAATTTAAAATTTTATAGAAAAATAATCACAAATAAACGAGTTATTAAGCATTGTTTAAGCACGTGCCCATTTTTCTTTGATATGCCGAAAATCAGTGAACCGATTGACACGTGCCATATAACATAACAACTGAATAAACAATCATAATCTTTTTATTTTAAGTAATTAACAAATGTATCGAAAAGATTAATGCTTAATAATTTATAATTAAATATGTTGTTCTTATTTGCAATGATTAAAAGGACAAATAATTTTTATTTATTTTTTATATCTTTCTCGACAAAGTTATTTGCCATTTGTGCACGACTTTGATGTGCGCCAACTAATCAGTTAAGAGCGTGGTCAGCTTGAAAAATGTTTATGTAAGAGCATGGAAGTAATATTTAGAGATACCAAGACAAAAGGAATAGATATATTTATAAGTTTTTTGTTTTAATTTTAATTCCGACAAAGATGCGTGTTTTATTAAAATTTATGAGTAAATTCTGAAAAAAAAACTATCAAAACCTGGTGTATGCTTCTCCTCTTTCTATTACTGCTTCATACTTAGTACGAATTACGATTGAATTGGAAAAAAAATCATGTGACGTCCTTGGTGTTATTCAAAACCACTAGTTTTCAACCAGTTTGATAGCTGTTTACAAAGGCCGTATTATTTTTTTGTAATTGTTCAACATTTGTTTTTTTCTAAAAGTATAAGAAGTTTAAATATCATTATCGAACTTTGAAGTTTCATTTTCACATATCTAAAGGAGACAAATGGTTTTTTTTTAAATGTTCCACAGTTTTTAGCACATTATTTACGAAAATTATCCCGTATGTGTTAATTTAGAGCTATAGTATAATTTTGACATAAAAAGGTTATGCTTCGTACGAATGACTTGAAAATATGCTTTTTCATGATGTGAAAATATGCTTTTTCATGATGTGAAAATATGCTTTTTCATGATGTGAAAATATGCTTTTTCATGATGTGAAAATAATCATTTTTTGTAATACAAGATAATTTGAATACTTTACACCTAAATCTATCACGTGTAAAAATGAAAAAAACAAGGATTTGTATAGTATATTACTATACAAATCCTTGAAACAAAACCAACAGAAATATTTTCAAATATAATTTCTTTAAATCTATTTTTTCTTTAAGAAGAACAAGTATGTCAGAAGAAAATCCGATTTGTATTTTTTTAACCAAATTGTCTGTTTAAGATATTGTATGAAATAATGACTATGTTGTATGTGCTTTACCCATTGTTGAAGGCCGTACGGTGACTTATAGTTATTAATTTCTGTGTCATTTTGTCTCTTGTGAAGAGTTGTCTCATCGCCAATCATACCACATCTTCTTTCTTATATTTGTTGCATGTATTAAAAATTTATTATCATATTGAATTCGTTTTTGTCCAGAAATATATTGCTCAAACGTGTTCTTCATATTATAAAAATTTTGAAAATGAACCATAGCAAACGCAAAAGATATATAAACTCTGTCCAAACTGTTCATGTTTTAAATACGTCTGTTTACATGTAGCTTGCATTAGATAAGTTTGGTATTACGTAGTAAATATTTTTTATCATATTGAATTCGTTTTTGTCCAGAAATATATTGCTCAAACGTTTTCTTCATATGATAAAAATTTTGAAAATGAACTATAGCAAACGCATAAGATAATCTCTGCCCAAACAGTTCATATATGAAATTAGTGTGGTTGCATGTAGTAAAGATTTATTATCTTATTGATTTCGTTTTGTCCAGTAATACATTGCTTAACGTCTTCATATGTGAAAATAAATTTAGATAATTTGCTCTGGAATCAAATATTTTACAAGAAATAATTACAAAATACTCTTGAGAATCTGAAGAAAAAAACATGAATAAAATTTTAACAACTTATTCAGTGCGAAGTCAAATCAAAATTGATCACTGAAATATAATCTGAAAAACAATTCATTTATTAGTATCCAACTTTTCCAATATTGTCGATTAAACACAACAGATAGCAGGATTCTCGTGTAATCAGTTATGTAATTTGACACGTGTCTAACGGTTCATTGATTTTCGGCATATCAAAGAAAAACAGGCACGTGTCTACACAATGTTGAATAACTCATTTATTTGTGATTATTTTTCTATAAAACTTGAAATTTATGCATTAAATATCAATATCTACCATAATATGAAAAGACATTAAAGGTAATAGCACCCCATCTAGTCCTTAGTGGCATATCATAAGTTAAGGACTCCTTAGCAGTGTTTAGACGCACCCAATTGTGTCAGCTCCTGTGACAAACTGAAGATGGAAGTTAAGCAGAGTATGAAATCACCATTATCAATATGTAAAATCCAACCAGTGAATGTATATTTATTCAAATAGTGTCATGAATGGAATTAAAAAAGGACTTGGAAAATTAACATGTTTTAATATTGCTTTGTGTGTGTGAATAAAATTTGTCAGCAAGAACAAACTTCTTTTATTAAAAGACATCCAGAATACATGATGTCTTCATACATGTCATAACAGGTACCAGCATTTCTGTGGTTGGGTGTTCCCGGATAGTTTAGTTTGTAACAATGTTCCATTTTTTGGTCTTTCATGCTTGGTTCATAAGGAATGTAAAAAAAATATTTCATGTGGGTATAAAAATAAGAAGATGTGGTACGATTGCTATTAAGACAACTATCAGGAGATCAAAGGACAAGGATGTAAACGAAGACAGGTCAGTGTTCACTAAGATAGGTTTTCTAGGTACAATGTAGGTACTTTTTGAAAGTGGATAACCAATGGATTTATTGGGTCAATGGGATGAAGGTGGGGTGATGTGGGAATGAATATTTTAGCTTGGTGAGAATTAGTAGAAGAAATAATGTTGCCCGTTCAAGATGAAAATGAATAAGCTGCTGCATTTCTGCCTCACATTAAGCATGAAAAATTATGTAAAAAAGTGAAAATGAAGCTATGTGACATAAACAATCTGAGCAACAGATAAAAATGAAATAATATTGACTATTTGTGAATAATCTGTCCAAGAGAAATCCTCCTGCCTTACCCCCTAAAAATGAAACGATTGTCCCCTTATATATGCTCTTAATGCTAATAAAAAATGTCAAATCTTTACCAATATAAAAATAAGGAGATGTATGAATGCCAATGAGACAACTATCCATCAAATTCAAATGAAGTGGATGTAAGCAATTATAGGCAACTGTACAGCCTTCAACAATGAGAAAAACCCATATTGTATAGTTGACTCTAAAAGGCCACAACGTGAAAAATGTGAAACAAATTATGAGTAGGGTGTATGACACAATAAGCAGATAACCCATCAAAGTTATTCGTAAAATGCTGTTAGTTGCTTGTGTTACTAATGTTTTTCACAAGGGAAATTTACTTGTACTTGCTATGGGTACAACTATTGATTTTAGGGTATGAATGATACGTTCATTGTTGAAGACCCTACATCAACTGTCAAGATGAAGAACAGGAATAAAAGCCATGTTCATTGATAATTTTCTATGTTTTCTATGTATTGTGTGCGATTTAGTCCCTTGTACATGTACATTTACTCCATATCTTTTCAGTTTCTATTTTACTGTTGTTTATAATCATGAACTTATTTTTAACTTCCTGCCAGTCTATCAATGAACTCAAACCTCTATAGTTCCAGTTTACACTCATGTATTTGCAGTTTGAACAGACGAGAATTCTTGAAAATCAATGAGTTCATTTAATTTCTCATTTGTTGCGGACCTTACATGCATGTATATTGATTCCGTTAAATTTATTCATAACTTAACTATGATAAAAAAAAAATCAACATACAGATATTGTATGGAGACCGACTATTCTTGGACTGTATGACTTCCTCTAACTGTCAATGCTCTTGTGGTAGTTGGGTCAGTTTCATATACTAGACTGCTACTAGAAGAAAGGACAAAGACAAGCTGCGAAAATAAATAATTGTTTTGACCTTCTCTTTGGGGTTATCTTAAACAGCTATTACTAGTATCATAAAGATGTGTTGGGCTACTCAAATTACGATCACAAGAAAAACAACAACATAATTACGATAATTTTCGGCAACTGCCAAATGTAAACGACTATCAAAGTTTATTTTCCAGCTTGAGAGAGGTCCTCAATATGACATACTCAGAAGGAATCGTGATATCTTTACGAATTAAAACAAAATATTGATCAAAGATGCTAAAACAAACAAAACCTAACAACAAACAAGTCAGAAATGATTATCTTGCAATACACGCTGTTCAACCGGATATTTACTAACAGGCGCGTATAAATTTATAGTGGCGAGTACGCAACATCTCATGATACGCGACAAGTGTAGCCTGGCATCCCGGTCCGATCTAGCTGCGCGTCGCAAGGGCCAGGTGGGGAACAAATACCACGTGATCGATTCAGTGCCAGTTAGCCTGGGGTCCTGGCTAATCTGTCAGTATAGCCAGGCGTGTATCAATGTCCTGCCTGTCAATGATTGGTTAATACTAATTTTGTCGCGCAATGTTTGTTTTACATCTGTATCCAATCAATTTTTGTTTAACATCAATTAGTAAAAATTAGACTGTATTTATTTTTCTTTATGAATTGATGTACAGTGTTATCATATCTAATTATTAGTATGATGATAATTAGTAAGCAGAAAAGGGTTAATTCTTATCAGTAATCAACTGGTGAGAAAGTTAAAAGTTTAAGATTTCACATGACCAAGGTGTGAATTGGATTTTACTTTTACGACCTAATTTACATGTACACATGTATCTCAAAGGGCAAAATATATATGGAAAAAAAACATAAAAAGTAAAGGCCAACAAAAATTGCAGTTATTTTTTTTTTTGGGAGAGGGGTTACATTTCAAATGATGTGTACATGTGCGAAGATACACCATCGTACATCTATTTTAAATATATATATTTAATATATATTTATTTTATTATATTACTGACAATAGGGACTCGTCAATCTGAGAGCAAAATGTATTGAATCAGAAGCAATGTTTCTTAATCATTGGTTTTGAAATCTCTGGTTTACATCAAACATCAAAATTTATGCAAATATTTATTCAGCCTCACTTTAGATTCAGAGTCAACTGGCACTTAGCCTGGCATCCCGGCCCGATCTAGCTGCGCGTCGCAAGACAGATTAGCCAGGACCCCAGGCCAGCGACAAGTGTCGATAAACCGCGAGATTCCAATCCTTCTCACTATACAAATCCTTGATATCAATAATGATCAAATA